AAAAAAAAGAAAAGAAAACTAACACCAGTTCCCAAACTAGCACCAGCATATATTTACTTATATCCTCTGGCTGAATTTCATATTTCCATCGAAATCATTGTCGAAAAACCCACTACCGGTAAAATACCCTATCTCATCTGTCCCATACCGACTTTGCGTCAAATCTGGCGCCGTTTGGCTCAAACCCACAGGATCAGGGAACTCGTTTCCAGAAGAGGCTGCTTTAAAGCTGCTGCTCCTACTCAACCACCCACCTTGACCGGCCCATTGACCACCTTGATTTTGCGAATAAAGGGTCTGCCCCTCATACCTTTCACCCATACCCTGCAGATATTGCTGCAACACCATTCCATTAGGCAAAATTCCAGGAGAAAAACGAGATGGGCCCGGCATTGATGAGGACTGAGCTTGGTTGGAAGGTAATGGCTCTTTCAGAATCGGGCTATTGGTCGAGTTCATGGAGTTTTGTCTGGTCAGCGAATTTTGGCAGTTGGTCAATGCAGTGGAGGCTAGTGGTGATCCACTTGAAGCTCCTCGGCTATTAACGAGCTGGTTTATGCTGCTCATTTGGCTGAATGCCCTTAGGCAGTTGGCATCGGTTGGTGGGCCCTTAAGTCCTGTCTGATAAGCTTCGACATCTGGCACAGTGGCACGTCCCGTGAAGTTCTCCAAGCCCTCTGCAAAATTGAGGACTTCTATTTGAGAAATTCCCATGACTATGATGCCATGGCCCCACACAATCGCAGATATAGGAATATAAACCCTACTGTCGGGTATAGTTCCCCGTTGAGATGTATTTGTTTCACAAATTATCTTCTTGCATAGATGGGTATTAATGATTTGAAGGTGTAATAGAAACTTTGGACTTTTTAAATGAACAGAAAAAATGTGTGCCATCAGTGTTATCAATGGCAGAAAATGATCGGGCTGATATCCTACCTTGGCAGCCTGTGGTACCGCCATAACCCATAATGTTATCCTTCACAAATTTCAACTAGCGGTTAGGCAGAAATCCACCATGGCAAATTTGAGAACACTGAGTTCCACTGGTAATTTTAAGGGTAATTGACCTTTTCTTCACTAGATAGAACCATAAGTGTAGTATTGGTCTTTGAATAATGTATTAAGACACAAACAAGAAGAGATAGCATATCCCTTGAGACATTCAACAACAAAATGGCATAACAGATAATCATCGGGCAAGTAGCGAAAAGCTCAGATGCATATATCTGAAAATTCTTTGTGAAAAGAAGTAATGGTCTTCTGGAAAGGGCATAAATAAAGCGTAAATTACCACGGGGTCCTTGTTTGTATTCTCTGCAGAAATCCATCAAGTCTTTCATGCTATTAGCAACATCAGCTATCTGTCAAATGCGACAAATATGAGAAATTGCTGACAATATTATTAAACACAAAACTAATACTACAAGATATGAAATGGTTGAGACATGCCTGCAAACATCGAACATATCTTTTGGAAAAGCCGAGGTCATTTAATGACTGTAACTCCAAACTTCTAGCAAGCTGACGCCCAGCTGCTACAACCCTGGAACAAAATTTAATTCAAAATACATAAATAAAGGTCTTGTGAGTCGTGATTCAAACAACTAACCAATAACTTCCAAACACGAACCTGTATACGTATTACCTGCAAAAATATATCAACACTGCTGCAATATAAACTACTTGCAATATTTTCACTTACATGACGCTACTTGACTTTAAATCCGACTGTGAAATTCCCTCCGCACCACCTTCAGATAATGTGCTATGGCATGTTTGCGCAACTTGGAGTAGTTGGTTGACCTGCAGCCAAAATAGCCTCCATAAGTTCCTTGGCCATTTCATACACCCGTATGCTCCATAAGTTCGAGTACGCCAGAATTTTTCTCGTTATTTCAACCCCATATCTAAATTTATCCTATTCCATAATTGAAAATTTTCTCGTAATTTAAACCCATATCCAAAATTTTCCTATTCCATATGTGAAAACGTATTTTCAAGACTCAAGTAGAATGAATCTAGTAGTTTAACCTCCTTGAAATTTCAACAATATAAGGATTAGTGGGACCAATTCTATTCATTAACTTGATTACAAATGTTGAACAGAAGAGTGGGAAGAAGAGAGTTCTTTACTATAGAAAATTTAAACTGATTCAGAAAATAACAGACTTCAACATAACTAAACTAGTCAAGGGAATATCCACCTGAGGAGCAACCAATCTACGAGGAAGGAGTTCTTCATGTCGACTGGCACAGAATTCCCACGACAAAATCTAAAGACATTTGAAAAGATGTTGAGTGTTCGAACTCAAGATGTAAAACAATTAACAGACTTCAGGTTAGCAGCCTACTTTTAAGTCAGGAGTGAATATGATGCGAAGCTGACCCTCACGAATAACACGAACTTGCTCGTATACGCTCTCTTCAACAACCTTTGCATAGTCTAGCATCATTAATCCCGAGGCAAATCTTAATTCACGGGGTAAGTCCAGAAATAGAAGCTCATCAATCACCCCACTTCCAAATTTGACCTCATGAAGCCTTGGGAGCACTTCAAAAGTAACCTCTGTTCAAACCAGATTAAATAAAATTAATCAAGGCAAACAAGTATACCCTTGCCATATACTAAGGGGTAAAAATTACAGTAATATCACTTGAAGTGAATTAATGGAAAATTATTAACAGCACAAGCTAGCTTTAAGAAAGTATCTTTTATAGGTCAATAATGTAAAGAAAGGTTTGTAGTAAATATTTCTGGAGCAGACGTAGAGACGTACCAAATCCTCTTCCAGATTTTGAACCACATAAATCACACAGCCATGCATCCTGCAGAACTCGAAAAAACCATTTATAGTTGGAAAGTGCCACATTGGATACATTTGAAGGAGATAAGGAACAAGTTACAAAGACAAGCAAGTTATAAATAATGTGACAATATATGAACCCATCGAACAACCATCGCCGGACGTTATAAAATAATGGATTTACTCGGACTGGAACAAATAAAATGAGGGAGCGAGAATAGAAATTGCCTCTTCTCTTTTCAGTTGACATTTTAGAGTTTTTTGTGAAGAATGAAGGCACATAAAAAGTTGAGTAATACTTCCCTAATCAATTGATATTATGTCGAATCAATCGCTCTTCCTCACTTCCCTCATAAATGCTTAGCTACTAACAATGTTTCAATTTCATAAAATAGTTGAAGAGGAACTTCAATAAAAAATGGTAAAAAAAAAAAAATCTGAAGAACACATTTAATTTGTAACACAAATGAGCCTCTAACACAACAATCAAATGGGATTGGATGGAGCTAACAAAGTAAAAAAAGATGCAATCTACCGCTGCCCCCTGGGGAATCACCCCAGCTGAACGATGCCCGACATTGTTGTACCGTGATAGACACCATCTCTTCTTCGCACGTGGAGAGTAATACTCCGCCACAAATTTTCTCCAATACCCAATAGAATTGTCCTAGCACAACCCCAAGCAGAGAATGCAAATCAGGCATCATCACAAGATACTAAAAAATAATTTTTTAAAAAAAAAAAATCTCGTAACTAGATAATGCAATTAGTAAGAAAAAAAATGCCAATAGAATTTCTAGAAAGGAAAAAAAGAAAAATAAAATAGGAATAAAAACTAGAAAACAATATAACATTATATACAGATATTTTAGGGAACATAAAATATGAACAATCCACTCACAGAAGGCCTTTGTCTCTCATGATACAAGTACTGCATTAGACGACGTGAGCACACACCACTTTCAGAAAGCCGAGGTCCCCCACATGCAGGCAACACTCCCTGAATTTGATGTTGCTGACTTAACTGAAGTTGTTGCTGATTCTGCTGCAAAAACTGCACCCTCTGACTTGGTGTCATAGCCTGTAGAAACTGTTGTTGCTGCTCCTGCTGCCTTAACCTCTGTTCTTGCATCAGAGCTTGCAGTTGAGGATTAGAATTCTGCAAGTGCATTGAATCTTGTCTCTGCAAAACCTGCTGCAAAACCTGCTGCTGTAAAATGTCTTCCTGCTTGGTCTCCAAACGTTGCCTTTTTTGCAGCCGGGGTATAGTATTTACATCCCGTGTAAAAGAGTCCAGCACCTTCTGATGACTAGCAAACTGAACTTGCCTCGTCCCTGGCAAAGATGCCACACTAGATCCACCCTGAATAGTAGCATAATATTTAAGATGCAGAAACTTGGAATAATCTTAATATATCGTGAGCCGTGCACAGCAGAACAAACTGAAAAATAAGCTAAATAGAAACAGAATTAAGTCTTGTTGAATGCTTTCACAAACATTTTTTGGGGGGATTCACGGTTCAAGTAATTCTAATATTGACCACTCGATTTGATTGTTGAGGTCAAATATAAATATATATATATATATATATATCTATAATAAATATAGTAACACGGCAAAAATTCATATCTTAGTGAGGTCAAGTCACCATGTGGCCACGCCCTCGCCCACGGCCCCGCCCCCGGCTTTGTTGACTGGGTTGATCATGACTGGAGTTCGGTTGCACAACAGAGGATCCATCCATGGTACACGAACCAGATATGGCAATATTATTAGACGAGAAGGATATGGGTGATGCAGGCAATCTCGTATAAGATTCTGTATTAATGCTCGAACTTCTCTGAATATGGGGACCACCCGAAAGGCCCGAGTTAGCATCGGTTACCAGAGAACTCGCCTGGTTATTCAGCCCTGAGCTCTCGACACTGTTCAAGACTGTATAGCTACAATCCCTCAAATTTTGATCTGCGTTGCCGCGTGCTAATGAGTTCAAATAGTTTGGCCTCAGATGATGATTTTCAGCAACCTGGAATTGACCTTCTCCTTGGAAAAATATTCCGGAGCTTGAGGATGATTGTACCATTACTCCAGCTATCTGTGTGGTCCAGGTAATCACTGGTGCTGATCCTTGATATCAACAAGCAACCGCGCAGAAGACAAAAAGCTTGACAACAGCTGAAAAAGGGAAAGAATAAAATTCGGTCACTGGTCTCAAGGTGTTCTTTTTATTTTTTTTTTTCGGCCACTGGCAAGAACAAATGTAACATATGCCAGACTGCAAGCTGAAACTACACAAGAATTAAAACCAGGGAGAAGTTTAATCTGAAACTAAAAAGCTATTTTCAGCAAACCCTAATTCATAAATGGTGATCCCTCAATACAAATTCAGAAAGCACAAATCTTCAGAATTTCAAAGACAAAACCCCCAAAACGACAGAAGCATGACACGATTCAACTAAGGAAAAAAAAAAGAAAAAAAAATCAACCTTGCAGCACACACACACGCACACGCACACACACACACACACACACACACAAAAAGTAGGATCGGAACCACCAGAGCCACCTTAATTAATCAAATTTCGTCACTTCATAGTAATTAGCAGTCGGATTTCTCAGAATAATCTACAGAATATCATAATCAAATTCAGAACTACCAAAAATATATATAAAAATAAATATAAAAAACAACAAATTTTATAGTCGTTTAAGGTTATTACAAGTTACAACAATAAGAAACTTACTATATAAACTTAATTCTGGCGATAGAGAATGAAAGAGAACATGAGAATGCTACTAACCTTGAAAGAGGAGAGTAATCGGAAAGAACTTCACAGAGAAGAAAAGGAGAGAGAGAGAGGTGATGATCGAGGTAGCCAGACAGACAGCTGGAATAGAAAGGAAGGACCGATTGGCTATAGCCGGTCGATGCTTTTTGCATCACCGGATGTAGGCGGTGAGATATTAGACACGTGGCAATCCGATTAATTGGGATGTGGTGGGAAAATCTCGTGGTGTGGGATTGTTCTTTAGAAATTCACAATGATTGAAGCAAATTTATCTTCTTGGTAAAAATTGCAAATATGCCCCACATGATCCCACCTTTTTATAAAGTCGCCCACTAATTATACTACTATTTTGTTTAATTGAATCATTAAACAGTGCACCTAAATTCATTATATCGCACCCTAAAAAACCAAAATACCCTTACTAATTTAAAACAAAATAATAATAATAATAAAAAAACGAAAAAGCCGCACCAAGGGAAAAACCCGCACGACCGCACGCACCCCACCTTTCTCTCCCCTCTCTCCATCACTAAAAAAAAAAGAAAATCGAACAAAAAA